TAATAAGGAAGTCAAATATATATATACATAAGTAGAAATATAGAGAATATATGTTGAACACACCACAATAAAGCAAAACTTGCAACCATCTTTCATTTTTTAAAATTCAGCTAGCCTTATACTAAAAGTCAATGATGCTATTATATCAAACTAATTATTTTTTTATTCAACCCAGACTCTTAATCCCAGAAGCAGAATATTTTCAAATGTTCTGCAACAGGACTTATTAATTTATACAAGTGTTCTGCAAGCATTTCACAGCGAAAAAAAAAATACTATATTTTGCGTTAAAATACTATATTTTCATTTATTAAAATATAGGATCATACACAGATACACTGAATTATTTTTTAAACCAAGGCAAACATTCTTGATTTGTTACTTTTTCAATCACTTTTGAAGTAAAAAATTTTGTTAATGACAATGATGATGATGAATTATTAATAAAATGCCTATGATATAAAGGTCCGAACATTTAAATAAGGGGCCTTAAAAGTCTTTCGAAGGGACAAGTGCCCATTTGCAAACACAAACATTCGCTGGTCTGTTGTTCCAACAACTACTTCATCTCTATCGAAAGCATTTGATCCTTTAGAAACAATTCTGTCAATCGTGGATTTCCACGATTCATAAATTGCTTCTGAAATGGGAATAGAAAATATAAAAGTTCATAAACTTTATGAAATTTGAAATCTCTGAATTTAATTCTTTTTCTGCTTGCTTTAGAAGCTCTCTTGATAAAAATGGTTACAGAAGTATTCAAGATACAAATTGTTCTGCAGGACTTCGTTTGTTCTGCGACGTACGTCACAGTTTTAGGCACTTTCTGCTTCTGGGCTCTTAATATATTTAAATTACATATTTTGTAATTAAAATTCAACGAAAAACATGCGTCAATTCAAGTTTTAATGAGAAACAACAATTGGTTTGTTTCCATCTTACTATTGAAACCCTTTCGGGGAGGTATCGTAGGTGACAACGTAGGATTAACCCTGTCTATAATGAAGGATATTTCATTTTAAATATTTTACATGTAGACCATTTTTGTTTTGGAATAATAGAAATATAATTATATTATGTACAGTAGAACTCCAATTATTAGAACTCCAACTATCCGAATCGCCGATTATCCAAATCAATTTCAGAATTCCTATGGAAGTATGGAAATATAGTAAAAAGTTTCTCTTTTTTTATATGAATAAAATAAAATTTTAGTAAAACCAAGGAAGATTTATGCAGAGAAAGTTTACAGGATAGGACAAAGATTTGTGGAAAAGCTAAGATCCTAACTGAAAAGCTGGGTTATTTATCTTTCAAAGCAAGTAACGGCTGGCTAAGGAATTTTAAGTCTAGGCAAGGTATTTGTGAACTAGATTTAAGTGGTGAAAAGTTATCTGCAGACTCCAAAGCTGTTGAAGAGTTTATTGAAAAATTTATAGTTATAGCAGCCTCTTTAGCCTCTAAAAGAGAGTGCAGTGCGCCAGGGCATAAAGCTAGTAAAGACCGCGTTACTGTGTTTAACTGCGCGAACTCTACTTGGAGCCATAAAATAACCCTTCTGTTAATAAGGAAGTCAAAACGCCCAAGGGCATTTAAAAATGTCAAAAAACTTCCCCTATTTTATAAAAACCAATGCAAAGCTTGGATGACTGCAGCACTGTTTACAGGAGTGGTACGATGAAATTTTCAGTCCTGAAGTGAAAAAACACCAAAAATCTGTTGGAAAAGAAGGAAGTCCTGAGCTTTTGATTGCTGATAATGCACCAACTCATCCCACAGAAGAATCGTTGGAAAGAGGAAATGGCCAATTTAAAACAATCTTTTTGCCACCAAACGTAACAAGCTTGTTGCCAATGGACCAATCTGTTATTGAAACAATGAAGCGTTTTTACTGAAGACAACTTTTAAGGAAGCTTTTAGGAGAGGGAAAGGATGAAGAAGGTGCATTGGATAACCACAAAAAGATAAATTTGAAAGATTGCGTGTAGATGGTTGCGGAAGCTTGAAATTTGGTTAAAGATGTCTCATTAAGACGTGCATGGAACAAGTTAAAAGGCGTATCAACTAAAGAAGAGAAGAAAAAAGAGAAAAGGGAAAAAGAAGTTAAAGGAAAAAAAAGGGAAGAGACAGAAGATGAGGATGCCGTATCTCTCGAGGAATTCAGAAACATATTTTTGAAAATTCCTGGATGTTCAGATGTCTGTGCTGAAGATATAGGAGAGAGGATGACGTGTGATTCACCAGACTGTGGATTTCAAATTTTAAATGATGATGAACTTATTGAAAGTGAGATGGAGGAAAGTGTCGAAGAAGAAGATGACCCTAATGCTGAAATTGAGGAAGACGCAGGGCCGTCAGCTAGTGAAGCATTTGCTGGCCTTGAAACTGCATTGAAGTGGATGGAGCATCAACCCGAGTGTGACCATATGCAACTTCTCACTGTCAAACGGATGCGTGACTTAGCTGCCAGAAAACGGAGGAAGACAGTTAAACAGCTTACTTTAACTGAGATGTTTAGCATGTAATAACTTTCATTTACTGCAAGGTATGTACACATTATTCAGAAAAAGATCTATTTCCTTAAAAACAGTTCTTTTCACTCATTTCCACGGTACATACAGTAATTATTTAAAATAAGCATTTTTTTAAAAAAAATCCAATTATCCGAATTTTCGATTATCCGAATGAGTACCGGTCCCAATTGATTCGGATAATTGGAGTTCTACTGTATATCAAAGTTTCTGTAATTCAATTTATAAACAATCAAAATTAATACACATATTCAAAATATTAAACAGGCTTCAAAATTGCTTTTACTTTCAATGAGCCATCAGTATTATACCTGCATGGAATTACTGCATGACTTTTGTGAAATTTTTGAGGCAAAACCATTCGGAGAATTATTAATAGTCTGAAGCTCAGGCTGAGAAGTTGAAGAACTAGTTCTAAATGTAGATAGAACTTTAGGAGTTGAATTGCCGAAATGAAGGGAAGGAGAATCCTTGGAATACTTATTGAGGTCTAAACTTGGTCTTGATGAAGGAGTTTGACTCTGTACATTATTTTTCTAAAACAATCAAAAATTTGAAATGCAACAAATTTAAATATAATTCGAAACCAACAATAATTCATTAAAAAAAATACACAAAAAGAGAACTTAAGGAGCATTCAGCTTCAGTTAGCTGAAGTTTATCAGTATTTAAAAGTTACATTATTACTGTGGTGATAAATTGGCTTTATTTTTCCTCGCATGAGAATCTGGCAATTTTCATAGGTTAATTAAAAAATAAATGTTTACAAAAACTTATTTTGATATTGTGTATCTATATCAGATTTTTGGCTATGAAAATAGTATTCTTTTTCTACCATTATTATCTAGTTTTTTTACCATTATTCTAGTTTTTTACCATTATTTGTATATTACACCATTGTGTGATATAAAATTTTTTTGATTAACAATGGACTGTGCAAGTTCATTTATGAATGGGATAATGAATTTATGTACAATTAAAATCAACCTAACTCCCTTCCCCTTATATACACAGTGAAACTTTCGGGAAAGACCAGTTTTGAGTATCGACCTCCTCTATTTACAATCACTTTTCAGAAGCACAGAATTTCTTCCATAGACTTTGTGCAGATGTAAACCTTTAGGAGAGAGCATCAAAACCTCTCCCAGCAACCGGGCAAACCTCCCCACTAAATGCCGAAAAAATTACTCAAGGAAACACAAAAAAATATAAAAATAAAAAATATAAATAAAAAAAATTTAAAAAAAAATATTAAGTAGATAAAAAAATCATGTAACTTCGATAACATTTTGAAGTCAATGGAAGTAACCCCTAAAAACGACCAACCTCCAATGACGACCATTTTTCTGTACTACAGAGAGTCGTCACACCATGAGAGGTTTCACTGTGTATATATGGGTCATTCTCACAAAAAGGTGATTTTTTATGTCCCTGAGTAATAAATATTAGGCAATACAGCAGATTTCTTAATATTTTTCTTCATCATTTTTCGTAAAGTTCTAACTAACAAATCATATGCATTTCTGCTAAATGTAATTAATATTTCATTCTTATTTTTTAATAAACATAACTTCAAAATCCCCTCCGTGGACGTCCCTACGGCTGTGACACAAAATAATTTTTAATGGCTGTTAAACAATTTAAATGTTATTTTAATGATTTTTGTAGTTTTAACTAGTTAAATGTTTATAGTAACTTTTTATTTAATATTTTTTTGAAAAAAAATTATTTTTATAAAATAAATGACTAGTAAACTTTGTCCATCAAAAATGAAATCTCCCTCCATGGACAATTAATATAGTTCGGTAAATATGCAATAAAGGGCAGCATATGCGAAATCCCTATAAGACAGCTGCTGGGAAAGGTAACCATTCCATTTTCTAATGTTAACTATCAGTTGTTTTTGTTCTCTTTGGTGTCAGTTTTGGATTGTTGTGTTCAACTGGGGTTTGGCAAAGTTCTCACCGTATACTCCGTGGACATCATAAAGAAGGTAAGAGAAAATTATTTTATTTTTGATAGATGAATTTTAGATTGCAAAAATAGTATATTTAACAAAAAGAACTGCCCCATTTTTGTAACTTTAAAATTAAAAATCAGAAAAATTCAAGAACTAGTTTTTGTCTCCTCCGTGGACATAACAAGTCCACGGAGGAGAAGACACAGTCAATGGAAGAGACAATGTGTTAGATAACCATAATACAATTTTAATAATTAAAAAACTATTTTCTTTTAATTGATATTTTTTAAAATGGAACAAATGTGTTAATTTGTTTGTATTTTTAAAGAAAATCAATTAAGTTTAACTTTTTCTTATCGGAGAAGTAAATATTGGCAATTTTTCTAAATAATTTCTGTGATGTTTAACATTTTTTTTCTCTTCAAATTTTAGGAAAAAAATTGCAAAACCAAAATTTAAGAAAAGAAAGCAATCAAATGTTCAAATGCAAAAGAGAAGGGAACAGAAAAAACTTAGTATGAGACAAGCTAGACAGAAATTAAAAGAAAACCCTATATTGTTTGAAGAAAGTTTAAAAAAAAAAAAAAAAAAAAGAGCAAGAAACTTTAAAATCTGTATCAGAAAAAGATTTAACAGAAAAATCGTGATTAAATGTACTTAAATTTCTAGAAATTGATAGAGCAAGCCGTTTGTGCCCAGGGAAAAAAGAAACAATAACAAGAAGAAAAGAGAAAAAACAAAAACATTATTTGGATGACAGTATGTTTAACTTGCATAAAATGTTCATAAAAGAGTATCCTCAACACTCAACTTTCATGTGGAGTCTGAATTTTTATTTCAATAGTCTTTACATTTTAATTTATTAATATTCAGTAAGAGTTACTTAAAAAATTGTACACCTAGGTTAAAAATGGATGTTTCCTTTCATAGCAGCATGATTAATCAGAAGTAGCTCTACCTCTAATAATCAAATATTTTATTATTTACTTATTAATGTTAAACTCATATCAGTTGTACCCAATAATTAATGAATTAGTCTTCATTGACATTTTATATTTTATAACATAAAATGTCTCCTCCATTGACTATTTACAACTCCTCCGTGGACAAGGCAGAATTTAAAATATTCTAAATCTTGTAAAAAATAAAATAGAAAACTTGACCACTATTATAAGGACATATAACAAAAATAAATAAAGGCATTTATGTAATTTTTATCACTTTTTTAATAACTTTAATTTAAGAATTTTTTTTAGTCTATTTATACCTTTCCAGTGAGAATGACCCATATATTTCTAAATATTTTATTTTCAAATTGTTGCAAAATCACAAGTTTATTCTATACATTGATCCAATTCGACTTATTCGACATCGATCCATTGACAATTCGACATATTCGACCATTTAAATTACTTTTTAACTTATTTATAAATGATGTCAACTTATTTTTATAAAATGACTTATTTATAAATGATTTCATCATTGCCTTGAACGAAGAAAATTTTCAAATTTCAATAATTATTTAACTTCGGGATGTAATGGATTTTTAGACTTTTTAGATTTTTAGACTTTTTACTTTCTTGTTTTGTTCCTGTGTTTTTGTTCTTTAACATGTCAATTCACCTCTGCCATTTGAAATAAATCAAATAAATAATTATTTAAAATCTAGTGATAATTAATCGTCAACTTTGCAAACACGGAAGCAAAAAAAGTTCCCTATTATGAAATTTTGCAGCCGTGTCATAAGTATTAAAAGCTATCTCCATAAAATTCCAATACTTCAAAACATTTATGACAGTAAAATTACTCAAAAATCAAAACCAAAAATGAAATAGAAGACACAATTAAATTTCATAAAATCCTTTAAAAAAGATAAATGCATAAGTCAATAGAATTTGTGATGAAGTTATTAACATCAAGGGAGTTTATTGAAGCTTTATTACCAAGAGAAATAAAACAGCAACAGTTTGAATACTTTAAACTCAATAGCTAATGTTAGTTTCAAATTATATATACTAAAACCATATGTACTTTAATATGGATAAATATTCTTATTATTTCAATAATTATTATTTTTTAAATATGGATTACAAATTCGGCAGGAGTTTTTAATTTAGAATAACATTAACAAAATCAATAACTAATCGTCAGTTTTTGTATTAATTCATTGAGCCTCAATAATACAAAGGAGAAATAACATTTTAAATACTAAGAATTTAGATACCACACGTTTTTTAAAATTTTCTAAAAACAAATTATCATAATATTGACATTTTGTGCCATTTTCACAATTAACATGGGTAATATTGAAGACGGACAAAACATAACTTAATAGTCATAAATAACTATTACAAACTAACAATAGTAATAAAAATAGCATATTATTTGTTAAAAAGCTTTGTTTCATACAACAAAAGATCCTTAGGATAACAACTTAGAGTCATTTGTTATTGAGTTATCAACAATACCAGTTTTGAAAATGCTGAGTAAAAACAGTTATTTTTTAACAATATAGTAAGATAACATTGTAAAATCAAAAAGATTATTATATTTAACAGTAAATGTAAAATTAAACAGCATCTTTAAGACATAGTAGATATTTTAAAAGATGCAAATATTTATTTCGTTTTAATTCTGTATTGTAAGGACGTCTGAGTTAACAATAAAAAAAAATCTAATGAAAAAGAACAAACCTTTTTGGGGGGACTTTCAGAGGTTGAAACATTGCTATTTTCTGAATCGTAATCCTCACTTTCACTTTCTTTTTCAGGTTTATATTCATCTTCTGAATCTTCAGACTCAGATAATACTACAATTCTTTTCCGTTTCTGACGCTTAGAGGAGGCGATCTAAAATAAATATTAGTTTCAACTAAACTAAAATAATTTATATATACACAAAAAGTATGAATCAAAATAGCCAGGCAATTCCTTATGTTGGCAAGAAAAAAATATTGAAAAAAGGGGGCTGGTGCATAACAAATCATTTAAGGGAAAAGTAAATATTTGAAACGTATAAAATATTGCAAAACATATTAGAAATTTTAAAAAATCTAATTTTTATGTAATGATTCCTAGAAATTAGATTGAATATCTATCTTAATCACTTAGAGATAGTAATAAGTAAGAAATTTTGCCGGACAATTTTCAAACAAGAAAAATGTGAGTGATAAATATATTGATCTCCTTGAAAAGAAATTTTGAAAGGTTATGATTACACAGGAAACTATGATTTTGAAATAAATATAAAATATGTACACGAAAATTCTCAATGGTGGGAAATAATCAATATTTCACAATTTAGTCCAAGGTAAAGAATAGGTGGTCTTGTCACTCCTTTTTCATTCATAGAGAGTACTGCTATTGAAATTTTTTCGTAATAAAAATTACATAATAAATATTTTCTAATTTTTCCCAACTAAAAAAAGAAAATTTCATGTTTGACTTTAGCTGCTATGGCTTAAAGTATTATATTACAGAAGCAGTGAAAGTACAACAAAAATATTGTTGCTATCATGTAAAGTCAATACACGTTTATTGAGATGTGCTTCTCTTCGGAAGTCAAAAAACGATGTGTTTTTACATACAATGTGAAGAACTGGAAGAAAAAAAAGTTAAATAACTAACTATTGCTTCAAAAAAAGTACTTTTACAATAGAAAATGTGCAAAATGAATGCGACAGAAAGTGATTAATAAAATAAAAAATAATAATATCTCATAAAAAGTATCAAAATTGGAAATATGTGTGAAACTGGACACATGCAGGGATGAGATTAGCCAAAAGGCAAAAAAGCTGAATTTCCACGATAGTAAATTTTACGCAAGCGCAACCCTTTAATAATAAGTTCCAGACAGTTTAAGGTAATAAATAGTGTGTTGACATACAATTGTGTACTAATCTATTATTATATAAATGATTACATTGATACTTAACATTTAGTGAAAATAAAAATTACCAATTGAAAAAATAAAGCTGGAAATTATATTTTTCCTCAGTTCACAATAGAGACAATCATTACTTGAAAAACTACCTGGTTTAGCAAATTAAAACTACTGAGAATATACATTAATATTTCATTTCTTTTAATAAATACTGTTATGTGATTTATAGCAAATATATCAGTAATATTACTTTTTAAATTATATTGGAAAAAAAAACTTTAACAAAGGACCGAATCATTATGTTCATATTATAGTCTAATTTAACTACAGCCCTCTGAAACATATCAATAACAGTGAAGTAGAAATATATAGTAACTCCTTAACATACA